GCACATGTTTCAGATGGATCGTCATGGGCAACTCTAATTAGGTAAGTATGCCACAATGACGTCCATTTTGCAGGCTCCATGAGGTGTCGGTTTTACCTCTGACAATATTGATATTACTTGCTATAGTTATGGCAAGTTACGGTAATGTGACGACTATCATTGGGACGATTCTACCGCATCACCACCCAAAACCAGTTCCTATAAAATTAAATAGCAGCACTCTGATAGGTTGATATCGATATAACGAAGTTCACGAGCTGGTCAAATACCTTCCTTCGACATATGGAAATATTTGGATATCAGAGAAATGTTCGAATACATAAACATTTTTTCGCCAAAATATTTTCTACGTAAAAATTCGTTATTTCGAGTTTTGACTGTATGTGCGAAAATGAATCCATATTTTTTATTTATTACATACATCATTTTTTATAATGACAACGCCAAAAAGATGGTTACTTGAACGAATATACGTACTTTATTGGTTGGACACATAACTTCATAATTGTATTTTCTTTTGATGCATAATTTTCTTGTACAATTTCGTTTACATAATTAACTGCACGCTCTTAAAATTTTTTTGCGTTAATCTACGGATTTCTTAAAACGTCAAAGATTAATTTCATTATAAGAATCAATGAGAGCTCATAAATATACACAATTTTTTAGATATTAAAGCAAGTCTGTTGCAATTAAAAAGTATTGCGTTATGTTTATTCATATCTTTATCAATGTCTTTAATTTTCAAACTCTATCTAAGTTTCCCACCATCTTTTAAATTGGATCAAAAATTTTCTCAAATACAGTTGTTTTCTTTTTCGCTGAAGAAGATTTAATGCCTTCTCAATCTAAGAAGTTAATTATGAAATATATAATTATCAATTCAAATAAAACTAAAACCCACAATTATTTTTTAAATTTTCATTAATACAGTATTATCTATATTAATAAAAGCTTCATAAGTAATGGTTATAATGTTTTCTACAATATCTAACGAATTTTCTTTTACATTAGACAAAATAATTGAAGCTTTTCTTTGTTTTCTGGTTTATGTTTCAAACATTTGTAACAAGCTCCTTTTCCATGAAGCCTCTAATTTTTTAAACCTTTGACACGATTTGCAAATAAAAAAGTCTATAGTGACAAGTTTTTTTAATTCAAAGTATTGTAAACATTAAGAAATTTGATTTTCATAAAATCGAAGTATCGGAATTATAAATGCTTGGTTCGTGGTATCTAAACGTTAAACTAGAGATGCACAGGTTTAGTAAACTATTATTATTTATAATTTTCAATTATTTTCTATCATTTCTTCTGGGAACTGGACGATTCGAAAATTTCGTAGAGTATAACTTGAAAGGCTTTCACTTCACTCCAGCCAATTAGCAAAACTTCACTCTTCATTTTTTAAATAGCAATTCAATTTTATTTCTACCAACACAACCTTTATTAAAGATGTGCCATTGGGGTGTGCGGTCAACTACATGTAGTACCATATGAAAATTAATTATTGAAAAAAAAATTGATCAGAATGGTGAGCAGATTTTTATCACTTTATATATATATTTTAATAGTAAATAATGAATTGCATGCCTAGAGCGAATCGCTTTACTTTTTTCAATTATTTTAGCACAAATCTATTTTCAAACATGATTATAACAAAGTTACGTTGAAAGTTGACTCTTTACAAAAATTCTCTTTCATATCGTATACTATTCAAAGGAAAGATATATTCGTTGCAGGTAAAAATTTAGTACTAAAACAAGAAATTTTTTAACATAATATTGCTATAAACATGTTAGAGAATATATTTATGCTATAATAATTAAAACAAAGTAAAGCAATTCGCTCTAGACATCTAAAAACATGCAATTCATTCTTTACTATTAAAATATATATAAAAAGTGATGAAGAATCTGCTCACTTTCTTAATCACTATTCTGATCACTAAATTCAAAAAAAAAAAAAATTTCAATATTTAATTTTTATATGGTATTACATATAGTTTTGATTTACTTAGTTGACCGCACACCCCTATGTGCCATTAATATTAGTAATAAAACGGTAATGTTTTATGTGCTGGGGCTTGATGTGAGCATTAGTCCTAAAGTTTAATATGAAGATAGTAGAGTTAGTACAGTAACATATGATAAGTTATAACCAAAAATTAAAGGGGAGTTTACACATAGAGGCCCAAAAATGAAAATAATTACGGATGAGGGCCTAAAATAAAATTTCTTACACGTAGCGGCCCAAAATAAAAAATTATTACAAATAAGCCTGTCCGATCTCCGAGCTATACTAGGCGACTAAACTACAAGACTTACATAGCACCGCTCAGAAAAAATAGTAGCCGGGTTTTTTGTAGCCTTACATCTATCTATCATGCTTGATATGATAATGATTAGAACTTTGATTTTTATTTTGACCTTTGTTTTGACTTTACTTGGTTTTTGTTTCGAGTTTACTTTGATTTTCGGTTTGACTTTGACTTTCGCTTTGACTCTCCTTTGCTTTGACTTCGCTTTAACTTACATTTTGGCTTTCACTATAACTTTCGTTGGACTTTGACCTTCACTTTGACTTCACTTTTACGTTGAGAATTTTTGCCGTGTAGAATTCACAAAAATATAATTTTGATCGATCGTTTAAATAAGCTATTTAAGTTCATGAATATTTCGTACTTTGCTTCTTATTTATTAATGTTAATTTATCTAGTAAATACAAAGTATTTTAATGTCCAAAATGACTACGGTATATTATATCTTTTATTCGTGTTATTTAGTTATGTATAAAATCCATTTTAATCAATGCATTAAAATTCGTAAAGTTATAAGTTTGTTAGCGAGGTTTGTAAAAAGTGTCTTTAGTTTTTTTGTGTAAAAAAACTTAAAGCTATTTTAGTGACATTATATAATTATTTTAATTCGGCTACCTTGTTTCTGGGTAACACTGTGTAAGTCTTATACCTTAGTCTACTAGAGATCGGACAGGCCTTATTTGTAATAATTTTTGATTTTGGGCTGCTATGTGTAAAAATTTTTATTTTGGGTCCTCATCCGTAATTATTTTCCTTTTTGGACTCAATTCCCCAAAATTAAATATACGAATAAATAAAATGCGTTAATTTAAATCTCATCTTTTTTATAACACGCGATCATAAAACTTATTGAGTTATAAAGAAAGTAATCGCTGATAAGCCAGATTAATATTTATTGCAAACACGTATTTGTTACACGTCATTCTTCAATTTATGTGTTATTCGTAGATTAGACAACGTTATATGGGGCATCCATAGCAAAAGCAGGCGATAGGACTATATTATATAGTCCTATCACCTGCTTTTGCTGTGGGGACGCAAATTTTTGTTATCATTTAAGGCACGAAAAAATTCTGTACCAGGTTGGTGACGCAGCAAAAAATTTTAAAGTTCATTAATGTTAGGGTTAGCGTTTAGAATAAAGTTAAAGTCTGGATGTTTGTATAGTAAAATTGCTCAAGGAAAACTTTTTGTTAAGTGATTTTTTATGCAGTTTTTGAGAAATAAGAAATCTTTGACAAAACGAACGTATTACGTTACACTTGATCCTTGAATATGATTTCAATATCAATTTGTGTTAAATTTTATTTGCAGATACTGTAAAATTTGAAATGATGCGTAACATTGTTTTAAAAGTCCTGGCACTATCACCAATCGAGGACGCGGTAGCATGATCCCATTTCTTTTCCTGGGAGGGATTTACTTATTAGTTTTTTTTTCAAGAAACGAAAACTATTACTAATCCAAAAAAATCATTTAAAAGGAAAATTTGAGCTAAAATTCCATTCTTAGATTTTACATACTATAAAAAACGAATGGTTCTAAACCATTACACATTCTATATCGATATAAGATATATGAAATTTTGCAGCTCGGGTATATTAGTATGTTCGGCATATATAGATGATAATCATAAACGAAATTTATAATCATGATTAAGCAGAATTTATTTTTGCAAAATAATCACTTAAAACATATAACAAATTATCTGGATATTCCTGAATTTCAGGCGAAACCTAGAGGTTTCGCGTCAACGAAAGTCGAAACTGTTACTGCGGCAAAGTATCCACTCTTTAAAAATAAATAAAAAATAAATAAAAAACCGCAAGAATTGTATTTTATACATGTAGTTGTTTATTTTTTAATCAACAATCAAAAATGAAACAGAATCCAAATTTGTTAACATACAGCATCAGCCGTACTACTGCTCCGTTTATGTCCCTTATGCCATTACTTAAACTATTATATCTATATAATAATAATCTATATTCTAACGATATTATCTTACGTTATATTAATAAATATTTCAATCAAAGTTCTGCAAATAACAAGCACGGTATTATTAAATATAATGATAACTATATAAGTTCATAATTCATGGTGCTTTTGGCATTTCTTGCTAAATCACTTATTGCAGCACATTTCAAATCATCAGTGTAAGACAAAATTTATCAATCATGAACGGTAGTAAACATCGATTCATCGTCATGTGTTTGCCAAAGTAGAATAAGATCTCAACAGAGGATTAGACTTAGGTCTAGGTCTGACATACGACGTTCTAGCGTCATCATAAGTCCCAGATATGATTTCTTGAGGAATTGAAAATTGATTAGATATTGAATTCCTGGAACTTGACGGTGGTGAGTTTTTAGTAGGCGGATGGTTTTGATTACTTTTTTTACGTGCTCTTACATATAGCACTGTGAATACTATAATAATTATGATAGAAAGTGCAATTCCTATGATTGTACCTATCACACCTAGTTTTTTATGGAAAAGCTGGTCATACTATATTCATAAATATTTAAGTATGAGGCAGATCATCAGCATGATTAAAATCTATTTGATTGGTTGGTGAACGTCCTATATGAAAATACAATCGGTTATATTAAATTTGACAGAGCAAGTAACGTCAGAGAATAAAATTTCTTTAAAGTTTCGTTAGCTGTTTATTATGTAAACTTGTTATAAACAGCTAACGAAACTTTAAAGAAATTTTATTCTCTGACGTTACTTGCTTGTCAAATTTAATCAGATTCGTTGTCAATTTTTCTTTTAACCGATTGCGGATCAAAACCCATCAGTTATAATTTCGGTTAAAATTGTCGATCATTTGGCCAAATTTTAAATTATCTTACTCCATATCTGGTCAAGTTATCAACAATTTTGACCGGAATTATAACTGATGGGTTCTTATATTTATCCTAATTAGCCAATAAAAATTCAAGGATCGACAACCAACCAAATGGATTTTTAATCATGCTCAGATCACCAAGTTCTTACGTACCTATGCTGATTACAGGATGAATAGAATTGGATGATTCAAAAGTAGTAACCCAAGTCCAATTGGTAGTATCAAGTAAATAAAGATTTAAGCTTGCACTTCTCGTAGCATTAGTTATGTTTCCTAAGGTAAGCAATTTTGATTAATCAAGTAATTAAACAAAATAATTCAACAATTTGTAAAATAACTAAAAGAAAATTTTAATAATAAATAAGTCTAATACCAAAAGCTATAATCATATATTTTTCAACCAACGTGGAAGAATGCAGTGATAAAGGAGGCGGTATCGCGTCAAGCGAAAGATAAGATGTTGTTGGTGCAATCCATTGATATGGTAATGAAGTTATGTTAAGAGCTATTAATTGTTGTGATGCTGGAAGGTCCCTTTCGCTTGTGCCACCATATACTATGATGAGATCATTTGGTGCTTTTCAAACCAATGAATAATTTGGGAAGTTAAAGTGTGTATGCATATCGATATAATTGTATACATAAAAAGAACTGATACCTAGAATTGCAGAGTGATAATAGCGATGGCTTACGTTTGCACCTCCAGCGATCTAGTAATGAGATATGAAAATTTGAAATATTTCAATTAATTGACTTAATGAAAGCATACATACCGTTAAATACCATTTTGAAGATTGAATATCGTACACTGGAATCTAAAACTATTTATTTAGCTCCATTTATAAACATTTTAGATGTATATGAGTAAATTGAAAAAATTTTACCTGACTTATATTCACGAGATGAAAAGATTGACCGTCATTGCTATTCTCTCTTCCACCAATAAAAATAATCAAATTTATGAAAAGGGTTGCGCTATAACCCTCACGTGGCGATGGAGCATCGATCATAGAACCAATCGACCAAGATAATTGAACAGTATCCAAAATGTTCATAGTATTATAACGAATTACATTTTCTGCTGGAGATCCTGTAGTAGTATAATCAGATTTCCCACCAAAATAATAAATTTTACCAATATTATCGGAAACAGCTTGAACCTCTCGTCGCCTATTTGGTCCCGTACCGTTAGTCACTGGTAACTCCCATTGTTGAGATTTGGTATCGAACGCATAAACTATGTCCGTAACTATTGCATTTTGATTGGTGATATACATCAAACCACCGATCAGGTAGATAGTTGATTTATCAAGATTGTTGGCTGGTTTTGATCCGAAGCCAACCGATGATGCCGCCCATGAATTTCTCACTGGAACATGTTTCGAAGCTGTAAGATCCGTCCATGATGGAGATTCAATGTCGAAGGAAGTTGAAACATCAAGGTAAAACAATTCACCATAAAGATGAAAAAGCTCTTGCCCTTGATTTATTTCTGAAACTTGCCCACCGACGAAATAAAGTTTTTTATCAACTAAAGTGGCACTATGAGCATATCGAGCTTCCGGAACAAACGATTCAACGTTTTTAAAACTGCAAAAACTAAAGAAAAGAATCACAAAACCTGTTAAATGGAGTTTGTAAATATTGTAAATGCGGTGACTAAACATTCCGAAGTAATTTAAATTTAATTTCGAAGCTTATAGTACTCAACATTGCAAGACAATACTGATTCAAACTATATGTTTCTTTTTGTGGAATAGGTCCGAATATATCCGGAATTTGAAACAAGGGCTAGACCTACCAATAGTCTTTAAAGAATTTAACATTCTTAAGATCTCATATTATACTGAACTTTAAGGTTCTTGGTAAACTGGTAAATAAGTTAACCCCTGTTTGCATTTAAGTTTTAACTGACTTGTTAACCTAAGTTAGAGACGAGATATCATTAACACTAAGACCAGGTATCAATCTATATCAATCTATTTATTTAAACCAATCAAACCCTAATATTATCACGTTATCGAACCTAGCATAGCGGGCTTACATTCCGATTGGCTGGAATGTTGGAAGGTTACATTGATAATCTTTACATATTAGAACAGTCCCCTAGTTAACTTTAAATCAATTGTACACCACGAAAACAAATTGTAGAAAGTTGCGACCCTTTAGCTTTATATATAGTTAAAATAATTTGAGAAACGGCGAAATAATTCGGAAGTTAGCTAAGAAACGTTTATTTGAAAGCAGTCTGCACAAGATTTCCATCGTGAAGATCTTGCCTCTCTAGTGAAAACAAAGGAAAAAGAAAGAGCCGGCACCGTGATTTAAAGGATCAGGAGGGGAATATTTGTGTGATGGCCAGCACGGTGCTTCTGTTGTGTCCTATCGTGTGATCATACCAAGTTCCAGGACTTGGTTGGCAAGGCTTTGTGCCGAAAACATTATAATAAATTAATTGTAAATACAAAAGATCTAAGACTAACTATGTATGTTCACACTCAAAACATCAGGTATATACTTCTACAGCATGATCCAGTACAAAAATGAAGGTTTTTTTAAAGGTCCCAGAACATTTACTCAATTTTTTTGAGCTACAACAAGAGGCAATAATATGTCATTGTTGTTTATACAAAACTGATGATGATCCAGAATATGTTAATTTATCTAATTATTTGCTGCTGTCAGAAAAGATTTCAAAAGAAGATATAAGAAATTTTCAAGGTAAGTTATATGTGTTAAAAGGTTATATTATTTATTTTCAATCTAAGTTCAAGAACTGGAATTTGCATATCATGAAGTATGTGCAAAGCTTAATAAAACAAAATTAGGTAAATAAATAATTATTTTATTATTATACTTCTGATTGTTTATAATTTTTTATTTATTTTTAAAGTTAGTTTTCTTTAGCAAGAAGATTAAATTAATAGTAGGTGTATTGTACACAAGACAGTATATGTATAAGAAGAAACTTATCTTTGATTCTAATGAATTCAAGAAAATGTTAGAAGAAAGTGAACTGTTATTAAAAGATTTTTTAATTAATTAATAGTTGGAACTAACTCAAAAGTGAAGAATAATATGACTAATAAAAAAAATAAGAAATGATTTGTTTATTATTATTATTTTTTAGTAGCTCTTAATAATGAATTTATTAATAAAGTTAAAGCAGAGGTTGGGTATTTATTAGAAGCATCTGGAACATTATTATTAGCAATAGAAACTTTAAAGATGCTAGTTTAATATATAATATGAGAATTTTGTTTAACAAAAAACTTAAAATATAAAAAATACAGACAATAATAGTAAAAAGTTTTTTATCAAATAATGTAAGCTTAAAAAAAAAACTAAAATTCAAATTTATATATATATATATAGATTATATAATATAGTATTTTTGTTTTGTGCTTTGAATTTTTAAATTATTAATCAATATATATTTTTTATTAAAATAAAAAGTTAATTGTACTTAATATTGATAATTTTTATAATATATATAAATATTATTATAGTAATTCAAAATTAATACATAATATTTTTTACTTCATTATAGTATTGTTTAAAGCTTGTTAGATATAGCATTAATACTAAACATTAAAAAAAATATTCATAATGAAAAAGATATTGATACAAAAATAATTATTGACAATGCTAATTTATTTTTTTAATTTATAATATAATTATATAGTATAAAGATTAATATTTGTTAATTTAATTTTTTAGTCTGTAATATACAAAGAGTGAGTTAAACATCTATTAGTTTATAGTTATAATATTCGAATTTAATAACATAAAGAAGATCAAAGTATAGACAATACTAAACTTGTAAAATTAAAGAAAGAAGCATTTTATTTAGTTGATTATGTTGATGCTTTTTAAAGTTTAATAGATATAACTAAAGTAAAGTTTTATTTTGAAGTACAAATTATAATAGCATCTATAAATTATTTTAAGCAGCTTAATATACAATATACTGTTAATTATAGAATTAATTTGAAAATTTATCTGATATACCAGAGCAGATTCTTCATATTATGCAAATAATTGGGTCTTTATATATATTTTTGAATAGTTGTAAAACTGTATTTCTTGTTAATTATAATTTTTTTAAAAAACTTTATCTTAGTATTTACAGAAACAAGAAGGTTTTGGCTAAAAAGCCAAAACTTTATAAAATAAATTTGTTATTAGAATTAGTATTTAAAGGCTAATCTTAAATTTGTCTAACAGTTTTACAAAAATTTAAGCAATTGAAAAATCTAGAAGGCAGATATTTAATTAAATATTTTTTTTAATCTTAAGCAGTTATGCTAGTACTTTATTAAGATTCTTAAAACTATATACATTTATAATTATATAGAATTTTCTAATATCTAAGTCTAGCATTACTTAGCCACCCTATTGGTACTTAAGTGCAACCTGTTGCACTATCTCAGTTAGAGATAGACTGCTCATCTAACTACTTAAAGCCATACTAGAAGAGTTTTTTTCTTTTTATAACAAGCATATCAATTGTCTTTTAAGCTTTCTTTTTCATTCAGTTTATTTTTTCTATTTTTTTTTCTTTTTTTTTTTCTATTTCAACATATCTTTCTTTGTTCTTTTTTCTGATTTTTTTTTAATTTAAATATTTTTTTTTATTTTGCTTATTATGTTCATCTTCTTTTTCTATTTTTGTACTTTTCTACATTAAACTCTTTATACTTAGTTGTAGAATGTATTCTATACTGTTTTTGTTATTATCTCTATGCATTTTTGTGTTGCCTATTTATCTAGAATCTGGGTAATCTTTTTTTCTATCTTATTTGTAATTAGCCCTTTTATTAATGCTCTTCTATTAATAATTTTCTCTGTTTTTGTTTTTTCAAATGTTGCTTCATATAGCACTCAAGGTAGAATTTTGATTTTTTCATTTTCTTTAAAACTATTCTATGCTATTGTTGTTGCTATCTTTTGAATTCTCTTTCACAGACTCTTTTGTCTACTGTAGCTTGTCAAATGTGTCTGAGTTTCCTTTTTACCTGTTTGACATACTTGGCAATCTGTTGTTATATATATTTCTGGTTTTCTTCTGTTTAATTTTTCTAGTATTGATAGATCGTCCATTATGCATTTGATTGCTGTTGCTTTTTTTGTACTAAGTTTTCTTGTTGTGTAGTATATGTCTTTTGTCCTATTTATCTCTTTCCAAAAACTTGACCAATTATATTGAATATTTTCTGTTTTTGGTTCTAGTACTTAAATTGAATTTGTTTCTCTTCAACTGACTCCAATTCTGACATTTGTGACTATTTTGCAAAGAAGTTTTGTTGGTATATCAACTTTTCTATTTTCTCATTCTAGATAGTATTTTATTTTATTACACCTGATCTTCTTTATAGATATTGCATTTCACATGTTGCTATTTTCTTTGTAAGTGCATCTGCTCTGTTATTTTATTTATCATTGCTGTGACTCTTAACTTTAACTAGCTTAATTCTGTTACTCTTGCTTTTAACTAAATTCACAATATTCATTATTTATATTGCAATTTTCTTTTTTAAAACTTTGTTATCTTCAAATCCTTGAATTGCTTTATTAATATTTCTCAGTGCCACAAGACTATTTGTATGTATTTCTATATTTTTCTTCTCTGGGACAGTTAAAATTGCCAATTATATTGCTGTTAATTCTGTGTTGTTGCTGAAGGCCAACTTTCAAGTCCCAATGCTGTTTCTTCTTCTGATCAGTTTTCTTCATTACTGATTTGTGCTCAACTAATGCCTATCTTTTCTATGATATTTTTTTTTCTTTATATAATGCTTTATTTGTATAGAAGATATATTTGTCTTTGTTTTTTATTTTGTTTCTCATTAGAACTTCTATTAAATAAGCTGTGATTTTATTCTCTAATTTTTGTTTTTTGATTAATTCTATTTTGAGTTCTTTTATTTGTTTCAGCCTAATTAGTCTTTTTTTCTCTCTTTTCTATTCCTTTATTGTTCTGTTTTCTAGTATTTGTTTTGACATTGCATTAATCTTGTTATTGCCTTTTTCTGCTAATATTTCTAAAACTGCTTTTATATTATTGTTCCATTTTATCTATCTTTTACAATTATCCGTTACTTATTCTGTTCTATTTTTATATCCTTTGTATTTGTTTATCTTAATGTATGTCTTTTCTTTTACTTTTTGCAAAACCTAATGTTCAGCTAAAATCTTTTTTTTTCTTAATATTTTGCTGAGTTGTTGATTATGTTTTGGTTTATATATAATCTACTCTTTTTTTTTTCTGTCTTCAGATATCTTTGTCTAATTAATCATTAGTGCCTGAGTATTATAGCTATTAATTTTGTATTGGTTATGTATTTCTCTACTTGTCTGTATTATTAACATCTTTTCTTTTATTTCATTGAACTATTTGGCTTTTTTCTCTTTATATAACAGTCTTTGAAAACTTTTGAGTTGTTTTTATGTAATTAGACTCTCTTTTTTCATGTCTATGAGTTGGTTTAAGTATAGCAAACCCTATTCATTTATTGTGCTACTACTTGTTGTTCAATATTTGGTTCTAACTAAATCTCTTATTCTTATCTCATGACCATTATTAACATTAAGAGTTTTACACATTTTTGACCATAACTTTTAATACACCAAACCAATTTGGATGAAACAACCACTATTGAATTCA